GGAATGAAATGGAAAGTACACATGAAATAACCCTGCCTACTGAAATCCCACAGTTGTCTCAAGGAAAAGTATCCCATTGTCTTATTAAACATCCCAGTTGGAGATGTCAGATTAGCCATAGTTATAACTGACTGTTCGCTAAAGTACTCAAATATTTAGTTATATTTGAACATGCATGTATTTTAATCATACATGAAATTATAAAATTTCTCTCATTTTATATTTAGAAAAAATAGCATTCGGATTTGATATCTTGCAGAAGTTACAATCTTAAAAATACATTTGCCAGAGGTATCTCAGATATCTTGACCTTTTGGTCTCAAAGACTACTTTTTATCACATGGAGAGCACCAGAGAAAAACTACTTGATATATATATATAATAAAGGGCAGTATTCCTGTTATTCAGTTCAGTTTAGTCGCTCAGTTGTGTCCGACTCTTTGTGACCCCATGGACTACAGTACGCCAGGCTTTCCTGTCCATCACCAACTCCCAGAACTTGCTCAAACTCATGTCCATTGCATCGGTGGTGCCATCCAACCATCTCATCATTTGTCATGCCCTTCTCCTTCTACCTTTAATCTTTCCCAGAATCAGGATATTTTCCAGTGAGTCAGCTCTTCACATCAGGTGGCCAAAGAATTGTATCTTCAGCTTGAGCATCAGTCCTTCCAATGAATATTCAGGACTGATTTCCTTTAGGATGGACTGGTTGAATCTCCTTGCAGTCCAAGGGACTCTCAAGAGTCTTCTCCAACACCACGGTTCAAAAGCATCGATTCTTCTGCGCTCAACTTTCTTTACAGTCCAATTCTCACATCCATACACGACTGCTGGAAAAACCATAGCTTTGACTAGATAGACCTTTGTTAGCAAAGTAATGTCTGTTTTTTAATATGCTGTCCAGGTTTGTCATAGCTATTCCTGTTATTAACTCCTTTATTTTCTCCCTTCTTATCCTGACCAGTCCGAGGAGAATTGAAAAACTGTATCAGAATCAGAACCTTGATCCTTGTGCTGTATACATGGATTTACTTAAGAAAAGAGATTTTAAAACATCAAATTTGCCAAGTGCTGTCAGCAGCACTGTTTGGCTCAGATTTGATTTCTATATAATCAAACCTCACTGAATTTTTGCTTTTCAGTCCCTGTTGGTTGGCTGGTAAATTATTTTAAAGTATAATGTTCTGTAATAGAAAAACACAAAAGCATTTGTCTCAAGAGCATGTTGTATGTGATCCTATGAAGCCGCGGTTGCTAAGGGAACTATTTGCCAAAAAGAAAAGCAAAGTATTGATTAAGATGGGGGCATAGAATTTAAAGGGTTTCCTCTCAAGAAAGAAAAGAAAAGCATATAAGACATTTTTGGCTTTAGAGTCAGATGCCTCCTAACTGGACACAGTGGCCGTGGCATTTCCTGAGGGGGTGGCCAGGCTTACCTGTGCACCATTAGATGCAGCCTGTCATTGCTGCCAAGAGGCTTCTGCTGAGAACAGTAAGGAGCTGGGGCGGGTATTAAGGGAAGTTGCCTTTTAATTCTGACTCCACACTCAGGGAAAATGGTCTTCCTGTGGGGAGGCCAGAGAAAAACATCTGGCAGTGAAAACAAATTGGCCTGAGATGAACTTGCAAGTGCCCTTGATGCCAGCCAGGTGATAAGAGGCTGAAGTCTGAGCTGACCTGGAAGAGAGATAATGGCAGATGATGCCTAAAGGGACCAAAGTATGTCTGAAAATTTCAAAATGCCTGCCTCATTATCACTTTACTAATGAGCTTTTTGAATAAGATTTTTATTGTGTAAATAAGTTCATTATAATGAAACATAGTTTCCCTTGATATATATCTATACATTTTTTAACAAGACATTTTCTGTTTTTCTTTTTTTTTTAAAAGCATAGACAACAGCATCAATCATACCAGTGACATGAAAAATATGGTTATTGAATGTTGTACTAAGTCATGGTGTTAAGGATGGTCAAAGTTGGATAAGCCCTGGCTCTTGTGCATGAGCACTCTGTCTAATGGGGAAGTTTGACTTACATGAAGCCATTACTAGAAAGGATAAGAGGTGTGCACAGGTATTTATAGGAATATGGAGGATAGACCAGCTCAGAGCTGGAGAAGACTTCTCAAAGAAGTGACATTTGACTTGGGTGTGTTTTTTTTTTTAATTTCTAAAACATTTTTATTGGAGTACAGTTGCTTTATAATATTGTGTTAATTTCTGATGTACAGGAAAGTGAATCAGCTATGCACATCCCCACTTTTTTGGATTTCCTTCCCATTTAGGTCACCACAGAGCATTGGGTAGAGGTCCCTGTTCTGCATGGTAGATTTTCATTAGTTATCTGTTTTACACATAGTAGTGTATATAGGTCAATGCAATCTCCCAACTCACCCCACCCCTTGACTTGGGTCTTGGAATGAATAGGCGTTATCAAGAGGAAGGGGAGAAGGAGGTGTTTTAGGCAGATGATACTCTGTGAGCAAACGCATGGGAGTGTTTCTTGAGGGTTTGTGGTGAGAATCTGTGTACTCCCTGGCGCATTAGGTTGTGTGAGGGATTGGTGCACAGTGAGTCTATTCAAGTAGGTACAAGCTGTATCATGATGAATCGTATCTACAATAAGAAGTTTGGACTTTTTCTTGTTGGCAAGAGAGAGCCAGTGAGCAAGTCTGTCTTTTGAGGAAGATGATTCTGCTTATAGAGTGAGTTAACGGGGTAATGCAAGGAGACAGGTGAGAGGATGCTGCAGTGGTTCAGAAGAGTGATGTGTCAGGGAACTCCAGTTATAATGGAGGGAGGGATGGTTATTATGAGGGAAAAATCTGCATCAGAATCCCCTCAACACATTGGTGATATAGTAACGATACATATTTAAAATGATTGTGATAAAAATTTCTTCTTGGAATGAGATAGGAAAGAGGAGAAATACAGATTTTCAGTGGTTTGGATGTTACTTGAGTTTCTTGCTAGCTTTTACATTCCTAGGGTTGAACTAACTTTGAATTCCAAATTTGAATATTCAAATTCAAATTTGAAATTCAAAAAATTTCTTCATGGTAAATTTCACAGAACTGGATTAGGCTGGTGGTACTAATAACATGTCAGCAATTAAATATAGAGATAAGAAATTATCTACATGAGCCATTGCATCATGTGTTATAACTGAAGACAAAATTATCACCTATTTTACCCTGTTGAGTTGTTTCAGTGTATTTTTCTGGTTTTCCGTCTTGAAGATAGGAATGTCCCTTTGTGTGTGTACATGTTACGTACATGTTATTTCTAAAGGCCAAATACAGACTAAATAGGAAAACAGATCTTCAAACGGGTAACTTTTGTTTTTGTTGAAACTTCTAAAATCATTTTACTGAGAGCTGAAGGTTTGATCAAATAAGAGAACCTGGTCTTCTGAAATCAAAACACAGGGGATTTTCTATTCTCCCTTTTCAAAGAATCACCCTGAAGCTCTTTGTTTTGTAAATGATATCCTTCTAAAGACACCTTGACAAGAAAATTATTTATTTCAGTGAGGGAAAACAGTCTTTTCCCGACCTAGTAAGTCAACAGTGTCACCAGAAGAAAAAGTTAGCCTTATAAAAATCATACCCATTTGTTTGCACTGTCTTCTGCAATAACATATTCTTAAGATGGCTTTATATCTGCCTTACTTTGAGGAACAAGTTTAAGTACCTTAAATTCAAGCACTTTAAAAATATTCTCTCAAGATATGGTTATCAGAAACATGTTTACTATTTAATAGTCGGTACCCAGTTAAGGTGTGATAAAGTATCTATTAAAGATAATGTTAAGAGAGGAAAAAACTCATATAACATACCAGAGACTCAGAGAAATAGTCTGGTTTCCTAAAGAGGTGTTTCAACTATGAGGAATTCAATGAAGGATTGAGTCTCCCTGTAGTTCTGTCACGTTTGTTTCATTTTTCTGAGCTCGGTCCCATGAAAGTTGGTTTTAAAATCTATTTTAGGGTCTTCCCTGGTGGCCCAGCTGGTAAAGAATCCGCCTGCAGTGTGGGAGACCTGGGTGTGATCCCTGGGTTGGGAAGATTCCCCTAAAGAAGGGAAAGGCTACCCACTCCAGTATTTTGGCCTGGAGAATTCCATGGACTGTATAGTCCATGGGGTTGCAAAGAGTCGGACACAACTGAGCGACTTTCACACTGGTGACTCACTAAAGAAGGAAATGGCGACCCACTCCAGTATTCTTGCCTGGAAAATCCCGTGGACAGAGGAGCCTGGTGGGCTACAGTCCACGGGGTCGCAAAGAGTCAGACATGACTGAGTGACTAGCACTTTCGCTTTATTTCTTACAGTCAACCCCATTCCTTGACCCGGACATTGATTTGGTCTCAGCTTCAGAATTTGACAACTTCAGCCTCTCCCTAGGCTGTAGCCATTAGTTTTGTTTTTCCTGTTTTTCCTGACCTTGGTTGTGGGCAGTAATGGACCTTAGCATCTGAGCTGAAGTGCATTCATTGGAGGGTGGTGTCTGTTTGCATTTATTAGCACTGCCTTGATGTATGAAGTTTCAGAACTATTTTAAACCCGAAACTAGTCTCTATCAGATGCAGTAAAAAAAAAAAAAAAAACCAGTTTTTTGGAATAATTTTGTAGATTGACAGATGCAGCTCCTATAGTTTTATTGAACATGAGAAAATCTTGGAATCTTTGTTTAAAATTAAAAACTTTCAAGGAATCTCAATTGTTACTGTAATAACACATCAGAAGAGTACTAGTTTTTGATTAGAAATGATTGTAAATATAGCTAACTAATGTTGATGCGACTGGCTGTATTTCAGTTTTCTCGTTTATTAGGTTGGGTTTCATTCATTTGTAAAAGGCAGCCAGACTGCCTTTCCTGAATTGAGGTACAAAACTGGATGTTAATCTTGACACCTTTGCACATTTTTGCTTTCAGACAGTCCTTTGAATGAAGCTAACAAGCAAACATTATGTGGTTGTTAATTGTTTTCCAGATGAGAACTGGGATGATGACCAACTGCTTGGTTTTGAACCTTGCAATGAAAACCTTGTCTCTGGCTGCAATCTAATCAATGGGAGATGTGAGTGTGACACCATTCGAACCTGTAACAATCCCTTCGAGTTTCCAAGGAAGGATATGTGCCTTTCAGCTTTAAAGAGGATTGAAGGTGAGTACTCATTCTCGGTTGCAAGCCTTAGCATCACGTAACTCTGAGCAGGTGATGGTATTTGAGCTGGAAACGGCAAAGACGAGCTTACAGAGACGGGTAGGAGCTTTGATCTCAAACAAGATTCCGAACGTTGACCAGGTGCGGATGTGATGTGTACGCGTGCGTGTGTGTCTGCACACACGTGTGTGTTTCTTAAAAGCCGCAGAATGGTGACGCTGGGGCAGTACAGGCAAAGTAGTTTGCACCTGCCTGCCTGGGTCACCTCTGCTTAATGAATGATGTCACACAAGGCATGCCTGAGATCAGCATCTGTTGTCCCCATGTCCATTCTGCTTGATTTACCATAGGATGGTGCTCCAGGAGGAGTACCGATTAGAAATGCAGTCTGACAAGAACGTGCAGTTTACAGGAGGTGGGAGGTGGGAGCCTTGTGCAATGACTGTTGGAGGCTGAGGTGGGCTTTGCCATGGGGCAAAACCACGTAGGTGTGGACAGGTCATTGGGTGCTTCCTTTCTGGAATGAACTCAGAAATCACATTAAAATAACAAGAAAATTATACTAACGTGGCTCATAACTTTTGTACATTCATGCATAAAACCTAGATGAGAGATGGAGGACTTGAAAGTATGATTCATGACTGCAGTAATCAGGAGTGACATAGCCAGAGCTGGGTGCCGGGGCTCGTCGCTGGAATTAACAGAGGGTGTGGCCTGGGCTTTGGACTCAGCCATGCCCCTGGGCAGCAGTGAACTGTCTCAGAGCCCAGGTTCCCCTCGGGGGGGAAAAGAGGGCTGAATGAGACATTCTTGGTTTGATTGTTTGTTTTCTGTAATTCTTTTTTTTTTTTTTTTCATTTATTTTTATTAGTTGGAGGCTAATTACTTTACATCATTGCAGTGGTTTTTGTCATACATTGAAATGAATTAGCCATGGATTTACATGTATTCCCCATCCCGGTCCCCCCTCCCACCTCCCTCTCCACCCGATCCCTCTGGGTCTTCCCAGTGCTGGTGTTTACTTGATTTACAGTGTTGTGTTAGCTTCTGCTATGCAGCAAAGTGAATCAGTTATATACATGCGTATAGCCACTCTGGTAGATTCTCTTCCCACATAGTTCGTGAGAGTATTGAATAGAGTTCCCCGTGCTATACAGTAGGTTCTCATTAGTTATCTATTTTATATACGGTAGTGTATATATGTCAACCCCACTCTCCCAGCTTATCCCCCTTTTCCTCTCTTGGTAACCATGAGTTTTCTACATCAGTGACTCTATTTCTGTTTTGTTAATAAGTTCATTTGTACCATTTTTTTAGATTTCACATGTAAGTGATGTTATATGTATTTGTCTTTCTCTGACTTCAATCAGTACGACAGTCTCTTGGTTTATCCATGTCACTGCAAAATACACTTTATATCTCTACAGTGATGGAGAAGCTGGTAATCTAGTTTGGAATACCAAGGATTTTCCAAGTCCAAAATCAAGCTCATAAAGGCAGTAGAGCAGTACTGAAGTTTTTGAATTGTATTATTTCCAAGACACATTAAATGGTTGTAAAGAATAAGAAGTGTATATGAAAGTGAAAGTCGCTCATTTGTGTCCAGCTCTTTGCGACTCCATGGACTATAGCCTGCCAGGCTCCTCTGACCATGAATTCTCCAGGCCAGAATACTAGAGTGGGTAGCCATTCTCTTCTCCGAGAGATCTTCCCAGCCCAGGGATTGAACCCAGGTCTCCCGCATTGCGGGAGAATTCTGTACCGTCCAGTTCACCAGGGAAGCCCAAGAATCCTGGAGTGAATAGCCTATCCCTTCTCCAGTGAGTCTTCCTAACCCAGGAGTTGAACCGGGCTCCCCTGCGTTGCAGGTGGGTTCTTTAGCAGCTGAGCTACTAGGGAAGCCCATTCATTAAGAAATGCATGCTGCTGCTGCTAAGTCGCTTCAGTCGTGTCCGACTCTCTGCGACCCCATAGACGGCAGCCCATCAGGCTCTCCCGTCCTTGGGATTCTCCAGGCAAGAACACTGGAGTGGGTTGCCTTTTCCTTCTCCATAAGAAATGCATAGTAGCCTCTAAAATAGCATTTCTGTTTGTATTTTCCAGTCCTGCTGGATCATTAAGACAGTTGAGTAGAAAACAAAAGAAATAAAGTTTTAGAACCTCAGGACTTTTAGATAGCATTAGTTCAGTCCTTCAGTTTGAAAATTGAAAACTTCAGCTGTACACAGTGGATGACCAATAGGCCCATGTAGTCTTTTCTGAATCACATTATGCCTTTGACAGCAGTTGACCAAGCACATTTGTGTTGTCCTGAGGCCCGTTGCTCACCCCCGTCCTCGCCTCTGTTGCCTGCTTTTCAGTATTTTTGCCAACTTCAGTGTATAAATTTTCAGGGGCATCGATGAAGCGGTCAAATATCTATTCAGTTCATTTAATTATTCATGCATATTTTGTCACATCATATAACATAAGCAGTTTAGAGGATTACCTTTTGCTCTTATATTTCACTTAACTGTTTTAGTCACATCTCAAATGCATCTCTGTCACTGTCATTGCCTTTGCTGGAGCTGTTTTCTGTGTCATTTAACACCCATTTCTGAGCACCCATTTCTCATTGTCATCTAAGTTGTCGGAGATAGAGCCGATTTAGAATCCAGGTTATCACAAGTTTTGTTCCAAACAGGGTGTCTTTGCACTTAAAACTAGGACAGTTACATTTTTAATTAGTGAGGTGTATATTTATGATCTTTACAATGTGGCGATTCACTGCATTGATTTTTAAAGTGTTTCTGAAAAGGCTGTTTACAAGATCCAGCACTTCCAATTTTGAGATCATTCCCTCAGGAATAATTACTGTGGCTGATTAAATTTCTTTATGCTCCCCCCGCCCTTTTTTTAAAACAGATTCTGTCTGATGGCCTCTATATAAAAAAATCCAAAAGTAGGACTGGTAGAGGTCATTTAAGGTTAATGTGTCTTCCACAAATTGTGTGTGCATGCTCAGTTGCTCAGTCGTGTCCAACTCTTTGCGACCCCGTGGACTGTAGCCCTCCAAGTTCCTCTGACCATGGAATTTTCCAGGCAGGAATACTGGAGTGGGTTGCCACTTCCTACTCGAGGGGATCTTGTTTGTTTTTTTTCGTTATAATTTTTACTGGAGTGTAGTTGACAATGTTGTGTTAGCTTCAGGTGTTCAACAAAGTGACTCAGTTATACAAATACATATGTGAATGTGTACGTATCTCTTTTTCCAGATCCTTTTCCTTCATAGGCCACTATAGAGCATGGAGTAGAGTTCCCTATGCTATACAGCCCGTTCTTATTACTTACCTGCTTTATGTATGGTAAGCGTGTATGTCAGTCCCAGTCCCCATCCCCTGCTCATCATAAGTTTGTTTTCTATATCCAAATACTCTACCTCTTTTTTGTAAGTAAGCTCATTTGTACCCTCTTTTAGATTCCACATATAAGTGATTTTATATGACATTTGTCTTTCTGTATTGAGACTTCACTCAGTTTGACAGTCTCAAAAATGAAACGATTTTGTTCTTTTTTTATTGCTGAGTAATATTTTGTTGTGTATATTCTGTATCCATTCCTCTGTTGATAGACAATTTAAGTTGCTACATGTCCTGGCTGTTGTAAAGCAACAGTACTGCAGTGAACACTGGGACGCATGTATCTTTTCAAATTATTGAATTATGGCTTTCTTTGAGTATATGGCCAGAAGTGGAAATGCTGAATTAATATGGTAGTTCTGTTCTCAGTTTTTTAAAGAACCTCCATACTGTTCTCCATGGCTTCCCAGGTGCCTCAGTGATAAAGAATCTACCTGCCAGTCTTAGAAGAAAACTTAGGCAGAACACTCGATGCCATAAATCAAAGCAAGTTCTTCTATGACCCACCTCCTAGAGTAATGGAAATAAAATCAAAAGTAAACAAGTGGGACCTGATTAAACTTAAAAGCTTTTGCACAGCAAAGGAAACTATAAGCAAGGTGAAAAGACAGCCCTTAGAATGGGAGAAAATATTAGCAAATGAAACAACTGACGGGATTAATTTCCAAAATATGCAAGCAGCTTATACAACTCAATGCCAGAAAAACAAACAACCTAATCAAAAACTGGTAAAAAGACCTAAACAGAGATTTCTCCAAAGACGACATACAGATGGCTAATAAACACATGAAAAGATGCTCAGCATCGCTCATTATTAGAGAAATGCAAATCAAAACCACATGAGATATCACCTCACACCGGTCAGAATGGCCATCATCAAAAAGTCTACAAACAATAAATTCTGGAGAGGATGTGGAGAAAAGGGAACACTCTTGCACTGTTGGTAGGGATGTAAATTGACACAGCCACTATGGAAGATGGTATGGAGACTCCTTAAAAAACTAGGAATAAAACCACCATATGACCCAGCAATCCCACTCCTAGGCATATACCCTGAGGAAACCAAGGTTGAAAAAGACAGATGTATCCCATTGTTCATTGCAGCACTATTTACAGTAGCTAGAACATGGACGCAACCTAGATGTCCATCAGCAACTGAATGGGTAAAGAAGCTGTGGTGCATAAACACAATGGAATATCACTCAGCTGTAAAAAGGAACCCATTTGAGTCAGTTCTGGTGAGGTGGATGAACCTAGAACCTATTCTACAGAGTGAATCGAGTCAGAAAGAGAAAGATAAATATCGTATTCTAATGCATGTATACAGAATATTAAAAAATGGCACTGAAGAATTTATTTACAGGGCAGCAGTGGAGAAGTAGACATAGAGAATAGACTTATGGACACGGGGAGAGGGGAGGAGAGGGTGAGATGTGTGAAGAGAGTAACATGGAAACTTACATTACCATGTGTAAAATAGAGAGCCAAAGGGAATTTGCTGTCTGGCCCAGGAAACTCAAACAGGGGCTCTGTGTCAACCTAGAGGGGTGGGATGGGGAGGGAGATGGGAGGGAGGTTCAAAAGGGAGGGGACATATGTATA